TCTCAACCCCTCCAGTCCATCCTAAATTAGTTCTGAACAACTTCATTAAGACGATGCCACACCCGAATAATAATATGTTGTCTCCATTTTAAAACGAACGGCAACAATATTGCAAATTTTACATTTAATATAATTTTACTGTTATATTTAAAATAAGAGTAAATTGACCTATTAAAAAAATTTAAGGTAAAATTATTATCCAAGTCATCTTAGAGGCTTCTATTGATAGTTTAATTTTAGACAAATTATGTTAATTTTACAATTATTTAATATAGAAATATTCATATAACATGCGTTGTAATCAAAATATCAATAAAAGCTCAAAAATGCACTGGATCAGATAGGTCTTCAACTGTTTAACCATTTATTTTAAAAAATCTCTTGAGCCTCATTCGTAGTAAAAATATGCAATAAATAATTAAAAAATATATGCGTGTGTGTTAATTCTCAGATCATAAAGGAATAGTTGATACACTACAAGGAAATCGAATGACAATTTTCCTTAAAGTAATTTTTATAAATTCATTTATTTATGCTATTGTGATTATTTAAAAGTGAATTAAACTTATTAACTTAGTTATCATCATGGTTAAAATTTTTTCATATAGTTATCTGGAGAACTATTAAGGGAATTGGACACATAGCTTTCAAAAATTGGTGTATATCATTAGTCAATGAAATTTTGGTTAATCTTGTAGGTACCTACGTCGTTTTGAGGTAACTAGATTACAAATAACAAATATGAAAACCAATTTAACCGGACTGTTAGGTCCAATCCATCAATCATGATATAGGATTCAGTTCGTCAAACTGGATTTACTTGGATTCAATCCGGCTGCACTCTATTTGAGATAATCAGATATTTTTCATTATTAGGTATCTATATAGGTATTATGAAAGAATATATGATCTCAGATCCATCGACAATCAATTCAATGTAATAATACTCCTAAAAAATTAACGTCCCATAGTTTTCGAATGTTTTACAATTTCTTAACTTAATAGCCCGGAGAAACTTTATTGACAAGTCATAATATTAAAATGCGTCAAATCAATAGCTAGATCAGCTAGGTGCCTATTATTATTCTTTATAATTTTTAGGTAACTCTATGTTAATAGAGAGGAATGCTATACAGTTATGTGTGTATGTACCTACTATGTATTAAATAACTAGTATGTAGCACAATACTGTTTTTTGTTAATTGATAACGTAATGTAGAATGCGACACAATATTTATAGCACAACTGAACAATAACAAAACAAATATTATAAACATCGCATATTATACAATAGTTTAAAAAATAATCACTGGTTTGATAGATTTTACAAATACTTGTGGGGGTAATTTATACAATTATTGATTAGATATTAGAAAAATAAAAGTTAGAAATAAAATTTTTAAATTTTAACTACCTACCTATCTTGATCGGATTTAACGGATTGTAACGTCTGTTTCAATCCAGATATGAATTGATCCGGATTTGTTTCTCATCACTACTTATATAATCTATTCACTCTATTGCATAAACATTAATGCTAATCAAAGTTCAAATATTTTATTTCAGTTATGTTTAATTATTATAACCTTAATCTCGTTAGATTAGATTATTACTGCACTAGTTTATAATATAACTGACCTTCGATGTAATATTTATTCAAGATCGTACATTTTTAATTATAATTTAGTACGCTAAATTATGTTTAATATTATTATACATATATATAAATATGTTTACATAACTATCTATAATTTACCATTGAATTGTTGAGCTATAAATAACGTTTTTATGTTAATAAAAATAAAATTTAGACTAATAGTTCCAGTTCAAACATACTACAGACCTTCACGATAACCTTCTGAACATTTTACAAAATAACGAGCAAAGTAAGATTTCAAATTATGTATTTGTAGTTTTACCGTAAACTATTTATACTATAACGTACCTACCTCCTAATTGTATGTAGTTTTAGGATAAATCAATATTTAGCTATTTAGTTTTATTTATAACTTGTAACTGTACAGATATGTAGCTTACACGTTTTATGAGAAAAAAAAATATAATATTTATAAACTAAACCACATTTCATATTTTCATACAAACACACATCTACATTTTATTATTATGAACTGAACAATTTATTTTTAATATACAACATTAATTTTAAAATTATTTGATAAATCTAATAACCATGAGGTCTAAAAGGATTGTCAGGGTCGAACAGTTTAGGATCATGGCTAAATTCTGGATTTCTGAAATAAAACGGCATCAAACCTGAAATCAAAATAATAAAATATCAAAATTACGTTAAACAGGTAGGTTCAGTCGATGTCTATGTTCAAACTGAACATTGTGTATAAATTATTTAATTTATTAAATTAATTATTTATCAAATACTAACCTACTACCTAGCCGGAACGCTAAACAGGGTCATACTCTGGCGGAAAAAAGAGAAACTAGTTTTCGTTTTATATTATAAGAAGATTTAGTCGATATAGTAGCTAGCTTATGAATTTATGATACATCAGTATTCGTCTTCATATCGGTTAAAAATTGGAAAAAATAAGAGGCCTACATCAAACTAGGTACAAAAATAAATACACGCACCTCTTTCAACATTTGCACTTATGACCGTCAACCGAAAATGTAGTTACATAATATTAAAATACGAGGAAAATTAAATTAAAATAAATACCTAACATACGTATAATTACTTACAATGAAACAAATACAGAATAACACTGGGGGGATGCAAGATTCATAAAGTAAGTAGTAAATACTAACCTGCTTCTCTAGATTTTTTAATTTCTTTTTCAACGTGCTCTTGTTTGTGTCGACAAAGCCCTGTAATATGTCTACCGTAAATACGACCAGTAAAACGGGATATAAACTGCGATAACATTCTGGTGTTCTTGTAGTCGGGAACAATATTCATTTTGCAGAGAATGCACAACCGTTTTTCTTTTTCGTACGGGTTAGGTATGTTAACCAAATGCTTGACAACACAAAATTTAATGAAATTAGTAATACAGCGAGTAAAATGAAACAATATTTAAATATGTAATGAAAATAAAAAAATCAACTCGCGTAAAACTATACTATACACCTATGTAAGCATCTTAACAAATATGGTCTATATCAGTACCTTGCTTTTAAACGCCTGCACGTCCTCCTCCTCTACAACTTTTGTTTTTTTTTGATCGATGTGTTTTTGCAAGTTGGTCCATGGGTTAAATCTGTTTGTTCGGAACCTACCCATATACCTCATGCTTACTCCAATACTAATCCCTGAATAAATAAACGTAAGTATAATGCGTATATTATATACTAATTAATACCAATAAAATCACGAGACAAGAGATGTTTAAAATAAGGATAAAATAATCATTGTTCAATCATACTATATTATATTATTTAACATAAAATCTATCATGACATAAAAATACCTTTGCATGCATTTTTTTAATTATTTTTTAAAAAATGTATACTTTAAACTATATGGTAATAATACTAACTTATTAACAACACATAACAATATCATAATTTGCAGGTATTATAAATAACTCTATTTTATAAAAAGATTTTTTATTTTAAATCTAGATAAAATATTATGTCAAGAGTTAAGATTTATTAGACTACTAATTTACGATATGTTCATTTCAGAAATAAGTTTCCAACAGAATGCAATTAAAACGCAAAAATGATTATATTATAATATTTATGTTATTTTAAAAGAATTAGAACAATAGTTTTGAAAAATAAATCAAAATGCGTCTTGAACAATAATGTATTTTAAAATATATAAGTACATAAGAATATGCAAATTAGATATATTAAACCATTACTATACCTAGGTAGTTATTGTAAAACATTTTTTGTAACACTATTAATAAAATTATTATTAATACTTAAGTGTATCTTTAATATAATAAGCATGGCACGAATAACCTTATTACTTAGGTAGATAGTATGGCTTGTACACGTAACTAAGTGTTATATCTAATAATATTATAAAGTATATAGGTACCTACATATTTCAGAATTTTAACCAATTTGTAGAAATTTTATAAATAAATAGATAGATACTAAATTCAATATTCATTATTACCTAGTAGGTATAGAAAAATATAACAAACAATTTATTAATAATTTTAAACTACCACTTATAGACCGATTTGTAATTTGAAAAATCTAAAATTTTATTTCTACAGAATTTTATATTTTTCTTTTAAAAAATATTTTAATTCTCTACACTTTATTAAAGTTTAAATATTATTAGCATAATATTAAGAGACCACTCCAACAATGTTTTAATTCCTGTCGTTTTTGTAATACAAAAAAAAAAAACATGTTTTTTCATAACTTATGATTATAAATTACTGATAAATTATTTTTAGAAACATAATATTGTTCATAAAAATAGGAGGAATTTCGAGTGTATTATCAATATGATAATGGATATTTCATAAACGTATAAAGTAAAACAATCAATACTACTTAATTTTCTTCGTTAAATTTAGACTAGGTATTATGATTTAGAATTTAGATGATATTTTTGTATAAACAAAAGAGAATTAAAATATATATTAAGATAAACAAAAAAATGTTAGTCATTATTTATTTAAGCTAATTTTAAGAAATAATATCATAAAAATTTGTATTTACATTGAAAGGTTCAATTTATTTCAAAACTCAAGAAAGCAGCCAAACAATGTTCCTTGTCGAATCTTTAAACATAATTTCAATAAGGAAATAAAAAGAATTACCAGATTAAAAATGATCACATGATCAACTTACTAAAATTTAAAATCAACTCTTTAAGATTTTAATATATTTAACATATTCTATACTACATTTAACTTAAGTAAGCATTTTAAAATAAAAAAATATTCAAATATAATTGACAAAACTATTAAAACCTATGAACAAAGAAGTTATATATTTTTAGTTATAAATATACATTTTTTTCTAAATACAAAAAAAAAATGTACATATAAATATAAACAGTTCAATTATTTTTATTTTTATTTTTATTTTACAATAAATCATTATCTAAAAGTACTTTTCCAAATATTCCTGTACGAAATGCATTTAGAAAATTTCTAGCCATTCCTTGCAAATCAGGTCGATAAATATATGATCCATCATAGTTTAAATACTTGATACTAGACTTGCGATGAATTGCAGCTTTTGCTAGCACTATTCGTATATCATCAGAAGGTTCATCACAATTTAAGTATGAAACATAATCAAAATTATTATTCTTATTAAACCAATATAATAAATAATCTGCAATTATCTCTTCACCGACAAGATGATCTTGTAAAGTCGCACACAATGCAAGTTTTAATCCAGTTTCAACATTCTTAATTGTTGGAGAAACCACTCCAGGAGTATCAAGAACATAAACTAATGGGTCATGGCTCACTTTAATTTGATTTTGAACTGCTCTAGTAATACCTGCTACTGCTCCAACAGGAGCAGCACTTTTTTTTCCAAGAATATTATTTCTAACAGAATTAATTAAAGATGACTTTCCTACATTAGGCACACCAATAACCATTATTCGAGAATCAATATTTTCTGAACGGTTAAATCTATTTGATTTTTTTATTAAACTTAATGCAGTGGGCATAATTTTTTTTACACCTGGACATAAAGAATTTTTACAGTTTGTATATATAATTTTTGATATATTCTGTTCCCGCATAATTTTTTCTTCGACCTTTTCTTTATAATTTAAATCAGCTAAATCCATTTTGTTCAACACTAAAATGTGAGGTTTTAGTCCTGAAATAGAGTATTTAAAATCTGGATTGCGGCCAGAAAGTGGTATTCGGGCGTCATGGACTTCAATGATACAATCAACTGATTTCAGTTTTTGCTGCATTTGTTTCATGCCTTTCCCCATGTGGCCTGGAAACCAGCGTAAAAGAGCTTTGTCGACAACTTTGAAACTCTGTCTGAACTTGGTAGTCATTTTTAAAAGTGAATCTGATTCTTTTTAGACAAAAATGTTGAGAATATTTTAAGCTGGAAAAAAAATAATTGAACTTAACTTATCACCAGTCCCAGACCACAGAGGAAAGAGGCAATAATTATAACAAATATGAATGAGTACATGAATATAAAAAAAAAATTTACACACATATTACAATGAACTAAATTTAATCTGTGCACAATAGTTTAATAACCATAACAAATAACAAAGACACCAATTTTGGTGCCTATTCTTTATAGATACGCGATCAACGAATAAAATACTATACATATTTACCTTTCAGTAACTTATGGCAAGTTCCAAACATTGTGACTGACATTAGGGCAACAACTGTTCTGTGACAAACAAAACACGTGAGATCTAATTATGATTGTTCAGATAGACGTGTTATAAAAGTATATATTTTTTTTGGAATTGATGTAAATGAAAATACTTACAAATACGTAATACTCCTTTTCGAGCGCAATGTCTACAAATAATGTGAAACTTAGATTTGTTCTCACTTCTTAATATACAATATTTTGTTTTATATTAAATAATAATCGTTGGTATCGGACGACGGACAGTAAACCTTAAGCATTAAAAAATTAAGATATTAAAATATTAAATAATAATTAATATTATTAACTATCAAAATATATCAACGAATTACGAAATGAACATTATCAATATCGCAATCCGTACCGCATTGTCGGCAAACGTTATCAATCACTGTGTTTAATTTTTTCGTCCATGACAGCAATTACGGGCAGGGCTAACTTGCTGCGCCCACTTGTGGCGGTTATCATTCTGTTAGGTATTTGTTTACAACAATAATAAATTGCTCATTTTTCTATACTCTATTACTCATGACTAATACTCAATAGGTAGTACAATAATAAAATTATACCTATCCTTATTTACGTTTATTGTTTTTTCTACAAGTGTACCAGTGTGCGACCATAATCTAGTGGGCAGTGGCCAGTGAGTACCGAGTAGTGACCACTGTAACTTAATCAACTGACGTGAACTTGATTTAAAAATTATGTTCTCCACTTGAACTAGCCTGAAATTCTTGAATTGTCGTAAATCAGTATTCAATTCAGTCGTTGATTTATACATTTTTTTTTCAGTTGTCATGTATTAAGTAGACGTTTCCCAACCGCCACCAGAACACACCATGAAGACATCCAACAATTTAATTTCTTTTTTGACCGTTTGTCTAGTTTTGGCGAACGTCGCATTCGTGTTTGGTAAGTAATAACATTTATAATGTAGGTACATTGTGATTTGTGTTTCACCAAGCATGAACAACCCCATTTTTTCTTCTTATAAATTAATAATTTTTTATATTTTATTTCCCTTGAAATCATTAAATTACTAATTTTTGAAATTATAATATACTTAACAGTAACTATCTTCAATTTCTTAGATTTTTGTCATACCATTTATAAAGTGACAAAATAAACTTAATTTTTTTAGAACGATACAATAGAAAATTTCAAATTCCAAAAATTAGAATTTTAATAAATTAACAAATGTAAAATATGTGTTTTAGTATGCTTGGCAAATCACTGTTTATAAGTCAATATTATAATATAATGACATCAATATTAAATATGAATCTATCAATAATATTTTATGTTTTTGTTATAAATCACTTATAGGTTATATATCAGATTTACAAAATGATAAAACCAATCGTATCACTTGGTGTACACTAAATGTCCAAGAACAATCGAAATGTTTAAATTTATCTGCAGCAGTTAATAGAGACAGACTAAGATTTAACCCCCCTATGGATTTTATGGAACTTATCTGCAAACAGGTAAATATTTAATTATGGACAAATTATAAGTATCTATCAGTTAACTATTCAAGTAAAAGTTCTAATTAAAACACTTCAAGTTGCCCAACACATATCTATGTTAAATGTTTTTTTTGAAAAAGTAGGTACCTACCTACTGAAAAATAGTTTCTCTTGATAATTGTTTCTCAACCAGTGTATTGGGATTCACCCATATGTCTCCTAATAAGTCCAAATGCGTCAATAAATATGTTAAATAACCTAAAATATACAATAATTTTTCACAATTTACAAAAATTAATAGGTACTGTTGATTAAAATTAAATAATAAATGTTACCAATTAATTTTATTTTATTTTTTTTGTCGCAAATTATGAAGTATTTTAATAGTGTGTTAAAAAAGTCTGAGAAACACTGTTCTGAGTAATCATATTTAAAATTAAATACCTATTATTTTTTAAATGTTATATTAACTATTTTTAATTAAATTATATTAAACAGAGTTAAATATTCTTGATAAAAAAAATGTTTTCGCAATTTCTTAAGTATCTGTATTCTTTTACAATTTTTCAAGAGTATTTGGATATTTTTTTTATTTACATTACTTGCATCTGAATTCTAAACTTCATTAGTCAATATTGTAGCTTTCTTAGTATTCATTGAACTCTAAAAGGCCTAATGTTATGTAATAAATAATAATGATAATAATAATATTTTTTTGATCAAGTTGGATATTAAAAAAAATCCTATAAAATTACCTTAAACTAAATTCTTTATAGTAGACTATATTGGCCATAATTTATGCGCTGGGTTTTCACCTAATTTCTTATAATTATTTTATCTATTGAAAAAATGCGTAAAGTAAAATCAAAAAGTCTAAAATACTGTGGTACCAATATTCATATGTATATCATAAAAACAATTATAATTGTAATGTCTATGTTTTGAAAGTGCCTAAAATAATATTCAATGACAAACTAATTTATAATGATTATATATACGCATAGGTAGTAAATTTATTTTAAAATCACTATCGACAATATTTTTTTTAATAGTTTTCATTAGAAATAATCATGTTCAATAATATTATTGAGCTAAAAATTTTTTATTTTTAAGTTAAATATATTTTTCAATATTTTAATTATATTGTAACCTTAATTTATTTGAAGTAGTATTTGGTTGGTAAAATACAATTTTTATATTACATATATTTATCTATTTAATTGAAAATTTATAGGGGCTCAATAAAGATGACTGTATGATGAAGTTAGATAACAATGCAGCAGATATTTTGAGTTTAGATGCTGGAGAAATATTTGTTGGTGGTCGATATAATAGTTTGATACCATTAATGCAACAATTACTTGAAGGTATTAATTATATTGGTTTAAACTTCTTACAATGTTTAGGTAATTATTTACCTATTAAATATTGTTATGTTTTGTTTTCAGGTGGATCTACTCAATATTACTCAGTGGCTTTAATAAAAAAAAATACTCTAAATGATGTGTATAACCTTGGACATTTAAAGGGTAAAAAGGCTTGTTTTGCTGGAGTTGGTACTCAAGCTGGATGGAATGTACCTATAAATACTGTAAGACAAACTCATCAAAAATTGTTTGATGTATAATATTCTAATATTATTTTATTTTATTTTTCCAGCTTATTTCTAAAGGTTATATGAACATTTTTGATTGTAATAACCATGTGAAAACTACTATAGAATTCTTTGGTCACAGTTGTGCTGTAAATTCACTACTTGATAAGTACAACCCAATGGGTAATTAATTTTTATATTTAATCCTATTACAAGTTATGATTTAAAATATAATATATATATGTTACATACAAAGTCTGGAATTGTACACTTCGGAATTTGTACAGTGATTATTGTACACATCACAAATTGTATAACGCAGCTTTTACAATCTAGTTACTTTATACAGCAACATTGTACACTTCACAATGTGTACAAAAATTACTGTACAAATTGCGAAATGTACAATTCCGGACTTTGTATGTAACATATATATATATGTATATCTGTGTGTATGTGTGTGTAATTGATAAAAATCATAAATCATAATATAAGTAACTGAAAAATATGATGTGTTATTGAATGAGGTTTGATAAATTGAAGGCCATATTAAAATGTTTAGTAAATAACATACTGAACATAATATACACTATTATTCGTTCTTCTTCATTTACAATTATAAAATATACTTGTTTGCTAACTTTTAATTAATTTCTTTTAGGTGATAATTCTGACCGTTTATGTGTTCTTTGCGCCAGCAAAGTTTCTGGCCAAAAATGTACATCAAATGATCCATATGCTGGTGATGAAGGGGCATTCAGATGTTTAATTGAAGCAGGTGACATTGCATTTTTACGACACACAACTGTATTGGAAATGATAAAGGATCCATCATTATTCAGTAAGATATAAAATATAATTGATCATTTTATATATGATTAATGTTGTGTAAACAGAATATTTTTTTTTTATTATTAAATAAGTTAAACAATTTTTACTGATTAAAAATTTAGGTAAAACCAATGAAGATGATTTAGAACTCTTGTGCGTAGATGGTTCAAGACGTCCAATTAATGAATTTATTAACTGTAATTGGGGGCCAGTACCTACTGATGCTATTATGACTACATCTGCAAAATCTTCTTCTGCTCGCAGTTCATATCAAAAATGGCTTCAGGTATTTTTACTAACAAATAAATGATTGACAAACTTTAAAAAAGATTAAAAACAAAAATATTATTGCATTACTTTAATAAAAACCTATAAATACTATAATTTCCATTTGTCTTTTGTCAGTTTTGATTAACTATAGTAGTATACTTATTTAAATAATACAAACATGAAATATTATTTATGACTTATAACTTTATTTTTATTTTATTTCATTAGAGAGTAGTTGAATTATATGGAAAACCTAAATCCACACAACCATTCACAACTACTTCAGACACCAACTGGATAGGAGGATTCAATCAACCTCAATCTCAAATTAACAACAATTTAAACAGAAGCTTTTATTTATTTGATTCTTCAGCTTATGACAATCACCACAATCTTTTGTTACAGGTAATTTAAAATTATTTTAAAAACCACCAAAAATAAAAAATTAAATGTATTTTGTTGTTAAACAAAAGTCATTATTTTCAAATCAATTAAAGTTTTTGGAAACATTTTTTTACATAGTTTTTAGTTAAAAAAAAAAAAAAAAAATTTAAAATGTTATTAATATCTGTATTCTTTAAATATTTTATAAAGTATTTTAGTAAATAAAAATTGAAATTCGAACAAGTAGTTTTTGAGCTATAGCATTTAAAGTTCAGGTAAACAAAGTGATACACCAACATTTTGTATAGTATCCCTGTACCGCTCACCTTTACTTTAAATACTTATAAGTTATAACTTATCATTCATCAACTACTTGTTCAAATTTAAATTTTTATATATTTGAAATACTCAGATAAATAATCTGCTTTAGAATATGAAATTAAAAATTTATGTTGTCATTCAAAAAATTAAGAAACTAAAAATATTTAAAAATATAGATATTTATGACATTATTTTATTTTGATTAGAAGTTATGTAAAAAAAAAAAATATATTTTCCAAACCATAAACTGATTTTGAAATAATCAGTTTATAAAAAAAAAAAAAATCACTCTCCTTATTATCAGTAGCTAACAGGAATATAACAGATTAAAGTTAGTTAATTATTCTAAATTATAATATTTATACTTCATGAAGTACTATTTTTTAATTTTTTAATTTAATTATATATTGATAAAAGTATGCTTTAGATTTAAATTTTATGCTAAAATGTATTTTATATTTTATAAAATGGAAAAAAAATGAATGTATTATACTTTTTTCTTATACAATTGTCATTAGCAGTAGTGTTCCTATAAGGTATATTACATATACGCCGTATACTCTCAAGCTTTTTCTAAAATATCATGGTTATACTACGTATACTCTCAAACAAACCATACAAAAAGAAAAAAGAAAAACTTAAAAGTATAGTATAATATTTTTCTAATCCGTCGTGCGATGCTCAATAACAACACTACGACAGTAACAATAGTCACGGGCATCTAGTTGATTAATACGTCGACAAATAATCGTTATCGGTGGTATTTCCCGTAATCGTTGTCGTCGTTGTCAGTATACAACGATAATAATAAAAAATAACACCAATTACAAATCTTTATTAATTTATAAAATAACTTTTTATCAATTAATTTAAATAATTTATTTTTATAATTTTGTTTTGATTTATTAAAAATGTAATAGTAATTTTTTTGGTTATTAATTAAACCTCTCCACCACTTTTATCGTAAAAAAAATGAAATACCTATATTTTGGCATTCTTCAGCATAGTATACTCTCATTAAAAATTATGAGAACATCACTGGTCATTAGTAAATTTGACAAAACAATTGTGACATACTATTAGAATTCCTCATGTCTACTGCTTTGAAAAAAAAAATCCACATTGCTAAAAATTTCTGCTGTTGAAACGTTATCAATTAATATATCAATAAATAGTTAATTTTTGCACTAATTAATGATTATATTGCTTTTATGTTTTTTTATATCTATTTATGAATACACTATGTTGTTGTTATAGGACTCAATAAGAGGCTTAAGACCCTTAGATGAAGTCCAACAAACATATACAAGTTATTTAGGAAATGCTATGGATGTTATACTTGGAGTACGTTATTGCCCTGTTGCCAAAATGGTACTTTGTGTTACATCTGAACCTGAAATGGATAAATGTATTAAAATGAAGGTAAATATATTTAATGTATAAATGCTAATTTTTACAAGTTTGTTAAAAAATTTTTTTCGCAATAGTTAGCATTAAAAGTTCAACTTTTGGTTCCTGAATTGCATTGTTTCCGGGGTTATAGTCAAGTGCATTGTATGCAAGCTATTAGAAACGGGTAAGTTAAAATTAAATTGTATTCACTCTATACATTGTACAAAAATATGAATTACATTAATAATATGTTATGTAAACAGAAATGCAGATGTCGCAGTGATGGATGCTGGTGATATTTATACTGCTGGATTGCATTATGATGAAATACCGTTTATTACTGAAATGTATGATCTACCTGAACCAGAATATTATGTTGTGGCTGTAGCAAAAGAAGAGGATCCTAGTACTGAGCTAACATATTTAAAAGGTTTATTTCAAATATACTAAAATTAAATTTAAACAAATATTATATGATTGTATTCTGTCAACAAATTTAGGAAAAATGACATGTCACCCAGGTTTATATTCTGGTGGTGGATGGATAATACCAATGGCATTTTTGTTAAGTAATGGATGGATACGAAGTTATGGATGTGACTCAATACAAGCTGCTTCTGAATACTTTAGTAAATCTTGTGTACCTGGTGCATTAAGTAATGAATATAATCCAGGTTTACCTTATGATAACCTTTGTCATCTATGTAGAGGTGGTAGTTATCGATACTGCAAACGCGATGCTACTGAAGACTTTTATGGCTACACAGGTAAAGTTTCTTAAAGAATTACTAATATTGTTTAATTAATTAATATTTTGATCATATTTTATTTCTAAACAGGAGCTTTAAGGTGTTTGGTTGAAGGTGGTGGAAATGTAGCTTTTGTCAAACATACTACTGTGTTTGAGAATGTAGATGGAAAACGCAAACAATGGTGGGCAAGGAATACTTTAAGTTATGATTTTGAACTTCTGTGTCCTGATGGTAAGTCTCTATGTACTAAAATAAAGGTAGAGAATTTAAGACAATCTAATAGATTATTGGTTTTTATTTAATGTGTTATCTAAATTTGTTTTTAATTTATAAAACATTTTCTAGTTTCAATTGTTTGTCAATGTTTAAGGAATTCATGTAGAATATTTTTTTTAAATTTTGGGTAAATAAAATATTTATAGTGAACCCGTGAAAAAAAATCCACTAATAAAATAAAACCATTGACTAAAAACATTTTACAATTTTTTTTTAAGTTATAATTTTATTTATTTTTATTATAATACTTTATATTTCTATGCAATTGTACTCTTAAATATATTTATTATAAAAATTAAATTGTTATCTTTTATATTTCATTTTATACAAATAAACATTTCTTTTGTAGTTTTTTTTATAATTAGAAATATTTATGTTTTAGACAGCCACATAAATCCAACAATTGTTTTATGATTTATTACTATATCAATTCTAGTATAATTTAAATTACTCCAAAAATAACAAATTAAACATGTTATTATAAATGTATTACAACGGTCTTGAACTATTATAAAACCATAGTTAAAAGTTCAATATTTATTGAATACTTACATTTTCTGCTTGAAGATTTAACTAAATATGTTAAAAACAATTTAATTTAAATATTCAAAAAGAACATTATTTTAATAAACCTCAATTATTTAAGCATTAGCATAAGAGATACCTACCTTCTCTAATTTAACCTTGTATGTAATTACATTTTGCTGTGACATAATGTCTCATCAATAGAACATAATTGTTTCAACTTCTTGATGTCGATCCCAATTAATATTTATCAAGAATTCAGGAATAACTAGATATTACCAATATCAAATAAAATGTTTAAATAGAATAATATAACTACGCTGTAAATTAAAAAATGTACTACCATATATCAATAAGTATTTAATTACAATATAATATTTATTTTGTTTTAAATAGGTACTAGAACATCGATTGATGATTACAAGAGGTGTAGCATGGGTAAAGTTAAAGCTAATGCTGTTATAACTCGTGGAGGTAATGCGTACAATCATACCGAAATAATGGCATTCACCAACTTGTTTATGGCTGCCCAGCAATTATATGGCAGAAAAACTATAGATGAGTTTACGTAAGTTGTTGATAATCTTCATATTTGGCTTACTGTAAAATGATAAATTTGTTTCAGTTTTAGCATGTTTACATCACCAGAACCATACAGTGATCTAATTTTCCAGGATGCTACCCAGCAGCTTATGCCTATTGATAGTTCATTAAGACATTACTCCGAGTGGTTAGGACCAAATTTCATGCGAGCACGTCGTCTTGTTGACTGCCGTGCATCTGGTACTAAATCATTACCATTGGGAATAATAACTATGTTATTATCCATAATTTTTACTCACGCGTGGTTATAGACTTATTGTGTTCAATTAATTTATAAAAATTGTGTAAGAATCTTATGGGCATCATTTATTGTTTTGATTGCCCATTAATTATCATATTGTGATCATTGACAGAATCTCAATCATAAAATGTGCATTATTGATTACTTGCACTTGATATTTTTAAAATTAGCCGTCCATTTAATAGTTTTAGTTTTAAGATTTTACTGATAATACATAAGACACCAATGATAAAATGCATTACCATAATACTGTAAGTGTATTTCCACAATTTTAGATCAATTTGACAATATGTCTAAAAAAGTATATTTTATATATGACTTTTATTTGTTTTATTTTTTTATTTAAAAAATAATGTTTTTAATGTTGTGAATTATTTATGATCAATACTTGATAATTTTAAAATTAAAATCAACCGTCCATTTATTATTTTTAATTTTAAGGTTTTACTGATAATTTAACACAAGATATCAATAATAAAATACTTAACCTTGATACTCCATGTTTATTTTTACAAATTTAGATCAATTTAACTATGTGCTAATTAAGTATATTTTATATATGAACTTTTTTTGTACAGTTTTTTTTATTTTATTGAATTTTATAATCATTTTTTCTTGTAATAATTTATTTATAGGGTAATTCTGTTAAATAATCCGTCCATTTGTGTTACTTTAAAATTATAGAAGATTAAATAAATATTTTTATATATCATATCATATCATTGTTCAAGTTATTTTATTTTTGTATGTAATTTTTGAATTTTTCATGCTAATAATTTTATTATACTACATAACGGTAGAGTTAATGGTTAAAATGTATACTTTTAGAACTTAGTTACGTTATTACGGCTCAAAAAGTTAATCAACATGTTTAGTTTGAGTTGTAGACACGTTTTGTTATGGTAATATTGTATACACTATTTCTATGTTATAAATCTGATACTATTTATAATAGTGTAATGTACACCTATTACAATTAAAATAAATATAATATTATATGCTTATACATTATCTTAAAATGTAAAAATTTTATTTTATTACAATCTGAACATTGATGGCATAGTGCAAATTTTACAATACATTATTTTTAATTCAAGGTTAAATAAGTGCATCAAATAAGCAAAATATTTCTGTTTATATTAAGCATCCTTAAACCTATAACATAAAGGTAAGTATGTAATAAATATTATCATAAAAAATTTTTTACCTACGTTTATAGAAAATTTCTCATTTCGATAAATAACTTAAAAAGTTAAAACAATTTGACAATGTTATGGTACAATAAAAATTACAATAAATGCTCATAAAAAGTTGATTTAACTTTTTAGTACAATTTTTTTTTTCATAAATATCTTAGATAAACAAAATAATTTATAAATTTCTAGCTACAAAAAAAATTTACTTATTTTTACAATTTTTCTTGAATTCTGTCAAAATTTAAAAATTTTTAACGCATATAAAAAGTATTGTTATTTGTTACGATAGATTCAGATACCTATTTATGAATTGAGAAATTAACGATTTATGAGTTATGAGGAGCTTTGTACTAAATTTTAAGTATTAATTCTAACAGCAAGTAATTAGTCTTTAAATAGCTGAAAAATAGTCAATATATTTTGTTAATCTTATCGTAAATAAAAAACGATAATAATACGAATATAAACATTTTGTAATAATTTCAAGTATTCACGGTTATTTGTTTTCAAATTTATCAAAAAACAAAATCAATTATTCCGTTTTTCATTAAAATTGTGTTTGTTTTATCCGACTACAAAAATAAATATTGGGGAATTTTAAGTTCGACCCCTCTAAAATACAAACTAGATAGGTACAATTTAATATTCCATAAACGGCATAAACCATCAACTTCATTTTTGAAAATCAAAGCATTTTGTTGACAAATTATAATGTAGGAACCCGTGAAAAAAAAACATCACGATAAAATCAATACACTCGTCCGCTCCGAATTTAAAATCTAAAAATTTACGTTCAAGTAATTTTTTTTTTTTCATCGACATTTCAAATTAAAATTTGGACGAAACAGACCTGTAATCAAATATTAGGTACCATAAATCATAGATTTATTTGGAGTCATATAACATATTTTAAATTAAAAAATTTCAAATTTCGAATAACATTATATATTTATAAATGCAAATCTACAGTTCAGTTTAATGCCTACCGGCAAGGCTGCAACCAGTGTTTTATTCCAGACCTTCTATCCCGAGGGAGTTTTGCAAATTTTTATTGTGGTACAATAACAAATAACGGAGGGAAGTAAAAATAAATCTAAATTTCGTACACAATTATTTTTGTAGTTTTTGTTCGCACATAAGAAGTGGCCTTAATTAATGGCTGATGAGTAATGGCCAATACATACAACCGCTATAACCTCTCTATGTTAATATTTATTTTATTTTATTGTTGGTTGGCGTAGTAAGTCTTATTACATTTTTCCGTGTAATACCCTCCAACACCGGCAAAAAAAAAAAAAAAAAAACACTGGCGGCAACCGTTTCTTTAGTATAAAATTCGATGAAAAGTTAATCCTTCGCCATATTATACTTTTATACTATACCTACCTACTATACAAAGCGCTGTATAGATGTGGTGAAAAAGCTCGGTAAAACCGCAACGCTTTCTGATCGCAGCTACCTGTGCAATTTAAATAATATACGATAACTGTGACCTATATATCTTAAACCAAGCGCAGGACTTATACTTATACGATACCTACTATGTAATGATAAATAAAAATTGTACATGATGAATAATAATATTTCTATAATTGATATACTTTTACAGATTTATGATCTTACAGTTATTAGTTTTATTGCTATTATTCACTATCGTTATAAATAGATAGAATCTATGTTGGATTTTGGAATCCAAAAGAACTGTAAGAATTGACAGAATATGGGTTTTGGTCTTGGTATCGGTTCTTAAAATATATATATATATATAAGATTTCGGTCTATTTCGAAATGGTTCTAGCCTCTGCTTTTAGATTAAGAATGGTCAACCTGCGGCCCGCCTTAAAAAGTTTTGCGGCCCGCTTATCAAACATTTACAAAAAATATCTCACTAAATAGTGAAAAAAATTAATTAAAACTATTATATCATATTATTTTTCTATGTTAATAAATTTTGCATTTTTTTTTTTTTTTTTGTATAATAGGCACAAAGTAATAATTACATTACTACACGTAAAAAGGTGATATTATATCGTAATCGTAAAAATATATCAACGAAAAATGTATAGAAAAAAGATTTTATCGATGACTATTCCGCTTGCAATTTTCTCAAAAGTAAGAAAAAATAAAACAATAATAATAAAAATAAAAACTAGTAAAAATAAAATCATTTTTATTCAAAAAATCTGTAGTTAATTTAACGTTTTGAGGAAATGGGATTCAAAATAAGACTTTAAATATACTTAAATTCATAAATATATATTAATAAAATAAAACATTAAAATGTTCATGTATAAACCACACCTACTATTTTTGTTATTGTAGCCACTGTATTAATAATTATAAACTATATAATTATTGATTATTTTACATTTAACTAACGCGGTATAAACTTCATATCCGTAGTTTTTAGAATATGTTACTTCATCTTTATTAAATAGTAATAAGTGATAACTATAATAACTAATATTTAATAAGACTAATAATATAATCTATACAGACATGCCGTGTGCTGCCTGAATAAATAACATATAAGTCACAGAGCATACTGATATTCAGAATTTATTATACTAATTTTAACTTGAATCAATCAATATTATAATGTATCTCTAAACAGTCTAAACGTATGCAAATATAATGTGTGAAAATCTCAAAAATCTAACAGCTGTAGGTATAGGTACAATATATTTTTATATTTGTTATACTTAGGTATATGATTGAGGCTTAACGGGTAACTAGTGCCTACCTAAACTAAGTACCTATAACCTAGCAGTGACGAGCCGAGACAACGAGACCCTGCGGTATTTATTTATTTTTGTGTATTAGAAATATTAGCATATTTATTAATTTAAATATTAGTAAATGTTTACTAATCGTGATAATATATATTTTTACCCGACCACCTACAAAATTAAGATATTAAGGTGTAGCTTACAAATGTAATAGGTATACCAATTATTTATCCTTTTTCGTGTGCAATGGTTATAGAATGCAGTTATTGTCAGTCATCATGTAATAAATTTAAAAAAATAATTCTCTCATTTTAATACGTAAAGAAAAAAATGGTTTTTACCAGGACCGTATTGGTCGTATTATAATATTATATGTATTATGCACAGCAGCTTAATATTTTGATTATATACCTAACATTACAAAACAATATGGTAACGATAATAATATATGTGATTAATGGTCATTGTATTAAATATTTAAATATAAAGTAAATGAATAAAAACTGTGTCTATTGGAAAAATATGACTGTTTATGGAAATTCGATGGAATTAAATCGAAAGAGATACAATATTATATTTCAAAAAAGAATTACCTTAAATTATAAAACGGGTACAGTACAGAAATCGAATTTTTCGTTAAAATATTTTTACATAATTAACAATAATGGTCTTTGGAAAGATGAACAGCTAAACGGGTCCGAAAGCCGATTAGTACAATAAACACATTGGTTGCTGGCTAGTAAGTCCCGTCATCGGGAGTTATTGCGCAGTCGATCGAGACTTCTACTAAGAAACCGGGGGAACAAAATTAGGTTAGGTTAGTGTTGCATCCAATGTAACTAACGTCTGCAGTCCCCTAACTCTCACCCCCTCGCCCCTCGAGCGTTGCACCCGCGGCCGAAGCCGTCGGATTTCGTCTGGCGACATCGACATGGTCGTCGCGTCGCGCTGCCGAGCAAACGCGCCAGCGACACTCGTCCGCCTGCGGGACAGGCCGTGAAAACGTTGCTGAGGGTGACCTGCAGTGGCCTATACTTTACTCCCTGTTTACGCTCTTTACACCCATTTCACCATCTCGTATCCCCCATCCCGGTTTATTGTGTCGTCCTTCCGATGTATTTCCCTCCCCCTTCCCCTCTTTTTGTTTTTGATATTGTTCAATGTTTTTTTTCTCCTTTTTCTTAAGTCAATTTGTCTTTTATTCTTATTGACACGTTATTTTGCTTTGTTTAAATTTTGTCACACGTCCAGCCAAACTTTAAAAATGCTACATTTCTTTTTCATTGTAAAATGTGTATTCATTATTTGAACTTTTTCAAAAAATGTTTGATAAAAAAAATTAATAAAATTAAAAATTGTTCACGAAAAGAGTTTTATTCACTATC